TCTGACTGAGCTGAGTTCTGTGTCTTACTGCCTACGATCCAGTCTTCCCAGAGAGGGCTATCTCTTCGTAAACCACGACTCATGGAGACCCTGCTTTCGCCGTTTCTCGCACCTCCCCTCGTGACCTGGTGGCCAACGGGTCTCGAACTTAGAGGGAGTGCACAGTGGAAATTGAAACGGAACCAGACCAGGCAGCTGACAGCAGTCCTAGAGCCTCCAGCTCCAGTAGCAGAGACCCTCAGGTGTGCGAAACCCGCGCACCCCAGCAGCGGAGAGCCAGGGACCCGAACAGCAGACGCGGCCCACGGGACCAGCCGCACTCCAGTGATGTATGGGAGACCAGCGCCATGCCCAGCAGCTGGTGCTCCGTGAAACCCGCAGCCCATAAATCAGGTGACCATCCTCATGCATGCCCCAATCAGGAGGCCTCTTGATTCTGCCAGTGCCCACACAGTGGGAATGACATTTCAGTCTCCTAGAAGTTGGTTCTATTTTTTCATAACAATATCCTGACAACTAGAGTCATTTTGAATTTAGGGTGAGAAATAGACCTTCCAGAATTCTCAACCTAAGATTACTAGGAGCCCTGATATAAAGCAGCCTATTCTTTGTATCCTCTGTGGGCCAGAACCCTATGAGAAAGGGACCAAGTGATTAGCGCATCCTGAACCCTAGACAAAGATGGGGGTTTGTTAGAACTAGAACACCGGGCTCTTGACCCCCTCCTTTAAGTCCCCACATACTGAATTTGTTGTCCTGAAGTACAGAACAGAAAGGCAGATCTGCACCTACCTGTTGGTGTGGTTGATATTGTTACTTGCACTGAGCGCTGCTCAGCAGGTTGTAGAAGGGTGATATTTACTTTATAATCAGTGGCCGGGTACAGATCTAAACATACTTCTGGAGCTTGTTCTCTGGTTGTGAAGTTAAATGAAATTGTATGATAAAAGTTATCCAGATACCACCTTTGACCCAGAACTTTCACCTGTCACAAGATTAAAAGAGAGTGTTGCATTAAGTTTCCTGTTGGCTTGCAGATTTTTGACTATAAGTAGAGATAAGACAAGAAAGCTCCTTTTATTTATCTTCGTCCTCTCAGAATTATTTTTAATACACTAGCAAGATAAACTGAGGACAGATTTTGCAAAGCTATCTTACCTATCCCTCTGTTTCCTTCTCTGCCAGGTATAGGACTAAAATTAAATTACATAATCAATGAATGTCAGATGAATAAAAACATCTCAGATGAATAAAATATCAGGTTGTTCTCCAATAATCCCTATGCCCACTCAAGTGAAGAGGAATACACTGGAGTTACTGGACAAAATTCTTTCCATTTCTTTTCATTACAAAGAATTCATAGACAAGTCCCATAGTGCAAGTATTTAAACAATATAAGGACTCCCCCAGGTTATGCATTTAAAGCAACAGTGCAATAGCATTTCCCCTGATCCTTCCCAGTAGAGCTCTGGTAAAAGAGCTGCTGATCCATGGAGTCATTGTTCAGGCTGCTACCTGAATCTTGCTCTTCCCCTTGCCACCCAAGCAGGAGACATGGTGAGTTATAGGGGAAACACTTTTGTGATGATCCCAGGAATCATAGGATCAACCACCATCAACCAGTCAGTGTCCTTTATTTGATAGAGACTGTGTTTAGTGTTTCAACTGATGCTCCTGTCAGTGGCTATACCACCCTCCATCCCTCCTCATTACTGTCAATCACTGAGTCTTCCCCAGGTCATCCAAGACCTTGATGACTGGCTCATAAGATTCCCCTCTGACCCAAATCCTCCAATTCTTTTGGATAAGTTTAGGTATTGTTATAAATAAGGCATCAAAACTTGGCCTAGGCATTCCTTGATTAGTGCTATGACTTTCCTCACTCCATTCCAGCCATCCACAGCCATACTCTAGGATCTAAGCTGCATCACCAACAGAGCTGCACTGCAAGATCTTACAGTGACCTGTTCTTCTGGACCACTTACTAGTAAGATATAATATGTCCGTGTGTGACATGAGCACCATGTACATGTACAGTCTCTTTTGCAGATAGCTTCTGAATACTCTTTTCCCGTATTTCATATATTATATAAATTAACTTTTGATATATAAAAAGTTTTCAATTTTTCTCTTTAATAATTTTAATGTAGGGTATAAAGTAAAAATCATTGCTTTTTTTTTGTTTGTGTGTGTGTGTGTGAATGCCAGAGGTGTCTTTATCACTCTGCATCTTATTTTTTTTAATACTTTATTTTTTAATAC